TTTTCTTTTTCGCTATGTTCTTCTGCTTCTGTTTTGCATTCGCGAACTTTGTGAAGGAATCGCGCAAGGCTAATCGTTTAAGAGCATCTGTCATCCAAGGTTACAGTGCCTATTAGGGTTAGTTCAATGAAAGGTGTGGCTTGGGATAAAATGCAACAGTGAGTGGAGTTGATGTAATCTTAGAATTGAGACGTGAATGAAGACATTATCAATTTGTACACAATTTTTTAACCTAAACAAATTTTATAATATTTCTTACTTTAGAGATTTTGTTCAAATCTTTCTTGAGCAAAAATCTAAAAAATTCAATGACAAGTATGAAAAATGTAAATCACTAACGATTTTTGATAACTACAGGCAAAATGAAGTTGCAGAGGTCTTCAAACCTTCATTTTCATCTGAAAAAAAGATCTATCATAAGCTACAAATGTATTACGTCGTAAAATAGAAAAGTATTCGCCAAATGGGTAAGCCAATACAGAAAAACTCGTCCTCTCCGTAGTATTCGCCAAGTAGATAAAGTTCCTCCCAAACCCTGACGTCCTATCAATTTCTGAAAACCGAAATATTCCCTTCCATTCGTATAGCGTTTGAATAACTGAATTGAATTTCATAATCGTTTTTTTTGTGTTTTCTTGAATTCCAAATTCGTTAAGAGTATTGCTTGGTAGTGTTTTCTTTCACCTGACACGCCTATTGAATCTCTTCATTCTTTCGTGACCATATTGACCTAAATCACTCTTTGCTTGTTCCCCTCCCTCTTCTGCGTCACATATTCTTCTAAATTCCTCTTCCGCAAGTTCTAGCATTCTTTGGATCTTTCATCACTGCAACGATATTTTCCTTCCAAAAAAATCTTTAGGTTTTGGGAATATTTTGTAGAGTGTAAAAGTAGCTATAAAGTCATTCATTCCAGAAAGGTGTTTTAGTTTTCTGAAATTTTGTATAATTTTGCTTTTTTCTAGTACTTCATCTGGTAAATTATAACTTGTGTATGCCATCTGAACTGTGATGTATTCAACCAACACCGTTGTTGTTCTTTCATTTGAGATCTCAAGCGTAACGAGGTCAACAACCTCAGTTATTGATTTGAATGTAAAACAATTTCAATAGTGGAATTCTGAGCGATCAGTTATCGAGTTCGATTTGAGATGTGTGGGATTATCAGCATACCATTGGATCACCTATGATCCATTATCGCGCGTTTGTTCTAACCAGTCCTACGTAAGCCGGATATTGGTTACTGGTAGTTTGTAGTGTTAGCTAACCTATTCATAAGCTTCGGAATTTCCTGTTTTTTTTTTAAATCAGAAAGTATACAGGATTTTCTGTTTTATATCCTCTATATTTTCCATCCACGATTTTATTCATAATATAGACGCACTTAAGCTATACAGTACTCTATTCATTGCAGGACTCTCCTATGCGCTTGCACGGCTCATCAGCCAGCAGCGCATCGGTGGCTAGTCGCCTCTACGGTACCCGCTCACGACGAGACTCTCTTGGCTCTGATCCAGAACTCATATCGTTCTCCGATTCCGACATGCATGATATCACTAATCAGGTGAGCGAATACTCATATGAATGAATGAATTGGTAAGAGCGATTGAATGAATGAATAAGAGTAGTTGAATGAATGATCAAATGGCTTGATGAATGGATGAGTGGAAGATGGATGAGCGGATAAATTAAGTAATGGAATGAAGGTGAATCAAGGAGTGAATGAGTACAATTATAAATAAATAAATAAATAAATGTTTGAATAAACGAATAAGAAAGCTAGCAAATAAAGAGTTACTAGATGATCTGTTAGTTTAAGG